CATACATACTGTACAACCATTATGTATATATATACCTATGTTGAATGTCTTGCGAGTTAAAGACCACGACCGTTTGTTTTTGGTGCTCAGGCGCCACTCCTGCTTGACGAAGCAATGTGACTTGGGCAGACAGGTTGAAGAGGTAGGCCCTTTGTCCGTTGGTTAGTTTTTCCGTTGGTTGGGGTGTTGGTTTCTTGGGCAGGTGGTTAGTTCATTGGCACGGCGGTTTCTGTCTCATGATCAGTTCCTCTAGAGTTTTGCCGAGAAAAGTGGAATGCAACAACTGGACGCAGTGCTCCACATGCCCGAAGGCAAATTCCCATGAAAGATTTGCAACGTCGTAAACCAAAGCAATTGCCCTTAACTGCTCATTGAGCTTTTCCGCGTTCGCGATGTACCCTCATGCCACCTTTCCTTCGATGTGGAAAGGAACCTCGCGTTGTGGTGATGTGGAAACTGGATGTCAAATTGTACCGTGGCCATGATGTCATGAACAGCCCCAGCCACCCTATAGCCTTCCAAAAACGGGTTCACATGGTTCACTCGATACTCGTCCTTAAGCAGAATAGGATTGGCATTGGCTCGTTTGGGTTGGGATAGATACAGCTCACCGCAGCTTTTTGCCGCAGAGACCATGCACTCATTTGATATGAACTGCAACATCGAAGCAACCGGTGATTCAAAACAACTGGGACCAGAACATTCCATCAGGGTGTCAGATTTCTAGAAGCTGGGCCGTCAGATCTCTGGAGAACGAACCAATCCCCAAGACGGCTGTTTCAGACGGCCCAGCTTCTAGACGAAGACGGAGCACTGAGCTGAGATCGATGGGGGGTGTTTCCAGTCCCGTCCACAACAGACTGGAAAATCAGCAGTAGTACCCGACAGCCTAACCTTGATGCAACCTGGTACCAAGACAACTATTTGGCCACGTTTGGAATTTTGCATTCGTCACGAGTCCTGAAGTTTGAACATCGAAGACCACAGATAGCAGCTGCATATAACCCCATGTGTCATGATTGTGCATCCTTCTTTTCGCGTTTGTCACATCAAACAAACCTGTCTTCCTTCAACTTTGCCCTTCGTGGGGGTTCTCCGCTCCCAGCCCAACCTCCACGGACCCCACCGCGATGGCGATGCCGAAGCGCCCTGCACGCAAAACAACGCGGTGAGCACCACACGGTCGGGACCCCCGAAAGATCCCTAAAGCCTTCGGCAAGTCCCAGAAGTACGGGATTGTAGCATAGAAGTTCGTTTGTGACCCGATGGCATGCTGCAACCTCTTTTGAACATAAAGGTTGTTCTTGTCGCCAGTGTTTTGGTGCTTTCGAAGGTCTCTCAGTTCAGGACCATTGCACTGGTGGACTGAGGGACAAAGTGGGGACAAACGAAGTACCAGTGGCAGCAGAAGTACCAGTCGGGGGTTGATCACACGGTGACCGTGACATGCACAGAGCTTTTGGTCCAATGACCGTGTGTATGCTCCTCTAGACGGACAGCGGGCGCGAGTAATTACAGGTCATTCGGACTCCAAGAAGGCCTTTCAGATGCGAAGCAGCCTTAACATGTAAAGATTTGTAGTCAAGAAGATCTTATATAGACATCAGAAGACTATATAGATAGATAATGATAGATAGATAGATAGATAAATAGATAGATAGATAGATTGATTGATTGATATCATATAATATCACTCCATGATATCCCAGGTTTCAAGACCCCCTTCTCCCTTTATGGAGTTTACCGTCCGGTCGTTCGGCCTTCGCCTGGTCGTCCGGCGATTTTCTTGCGGTCCGAGACGCTTGGGAACATGCACCAGGTGGATCTCTTCGGTTTAGCTCCTGGATGCGAAAAATCCAGGGGAATATTCATGAAAATTCCAACACTATTGATACTAATATTAGAGAGCAGGATGCTATGCGGGTGTGTGTTTTCGAGTGTTTTGTGTGTTTTTTGGTTGTTTTTTTTGACTGTTTAGCTGCAATAGGTCTAGCATTGGGTGTGGTATTGTAATCGGTCCTGGATGCTTCCCACAGAAGTTTGGAGTCCTCTTTTGTTACAACCATTCACCCTTGACGTGTGGTAGCTTGATGCCATTCACCCTTGACTGTGGAAATGGCAACGCAGATAGTGATGATAATGCTCATGGCAATGGTGATGGTAGTGCCATTCACCCTGTGACCTGTGGGAGCTTGATGCTAATGCTGATGGTACTGGGACTGCAAATGGCAATGCTAATGGTACTGGCAATGGCCGGTCACCCTTGCTGTGATGGCAATGCTCATGACAATGGTTATGGAATACAATTCACCCTTTGACCTGTGGGATCTATGCACCGTTCTGACTGACCTGTGGTAGTGGGAATCGCAATGGCAATGCTAGTTCTCAATGGTGTTGCTAATGGGAATGGTGATGGGATGCCATTCACCCTGTGAGCTGTGGGACCTTGACCTTGATGCCATCCACCATGCTAATGGGAACAACAGTGTGCCATCCCTTGTGGGAGCTTGATGTTGATGCTAATGCTTATGGTACTGGGAATGATAATGACAATGCTGATGCTGATGCCAATAGCAGTGGTAATGCTCATGGCAATGCTAATGGTAAGCCATTCACCGTTGAGCTGTGGCAATGCTATGTGGGACCTTGATGCCATTCACCATGCTCATGGGAACGGTGTTGCAATTTTCCCTGTGACCTGTGGGGGCTTGATGCTGGCCCTACTGCTCATGGCACTGGGAATGCGAATGGCAATGCTAATGCTGATGCCAATAGCAATGGGAATGCTGATGGTAATGGTAGGGGTAATGGCCATTTACCTTGTGACGTGTGGTAATTCTAATGGCGATGGAAATGCTCATGACAATGGTGATGGAATGCCATTCAGGCTTTGACCTGTGGGAGCTATTCACCCTTGACCTGTGGCAATGGGAATCGTAATAGCAATGGCATTCAAATGGTCATGGCAATGCAAATGATACCCGGTGAGCTGTGGGACCTTGATGCCAATCACCCTGTGACCTGTGGGAGGTTGAGGCCACACACCCTGTGACCTGTAGTGATGGTTATGCTACTGGCAATGGCAATGCTAATGACAATTGCGATGGTAATGCCATTCACCCTGTGACCTGCGCGGGTTTGATGCTAATGATAATGCTCATAGTACTGGGCATGCCGATGGTAACACTAATGCCGATGCTAATAGCAATGGTAATGCTAATGCTACTGGGCCATAGCAAGTGGCCATTCACCCTTAACCTGTGGCAATGCTATGGTGATGGTAATGCCACCCGGCGAGCTGTGGGAGCTTCATGCCATTCACCCTATCACCTGTGGGAGCTTGATGCCTCATAGGTAGTAAGTTGGGGGGGGCCGGTCAATAGAACATATATATAGGGTGTTGTTTTTTGGTGGTATCCCTGTACCAGGAACGAACGACTATATGGGGGTTTGGTCGACCATACATTGATTTCTTGTCGCCTGCACTAGCAAAGTAGAGAAAACTAAATAATGGGAAAGTATGCATGCCTCTACCGGGAAACGGCCCCCTTCCTATTGACAATGAATCCCAATGTTTATTCACACAATATTGAGCGGAGTTTTCGAGGCCAGGATTGCGAGCAACAGAAATCTTTTTCATTCAGCTGTTTTTTTAGGACAAAGGGGCCAGCAACGGCAATACCGCACCGTTTGCTTTTAGAGATAGCACAAGGAAAACAGGCGCTAATCCACGTCCAAGCCAACACCCAAGTTGATTCGTTAGTGACAGTAATGATCAGGACTAGATGTGGACACGATTCAACTTTCACATTTGTAAGGGTATAAATGAAGATAAGATTTACAAACATACGGGTCAGATCTTATGCGAGCAGGTCATCTCTAGGTCTTATGTCGATCATGCATATGGTTGGTTTTGTCTATATCATCTATGTCTTACTATCTTTCCACCCTCTTACCGTTCACCTCTAGGTCTTATGTCGATCATGCAGATTGCTTAGTGAATTGTACTCACTCTATTGTTTGACCCCCTCAAGGTTGTACATTGCTCAAGGGGTCCAACTTATATCCAGCGATGCCTGTCCATGTCGTTAGTTTGTGTGCACTTCCCTTTTTCATCCACTGCATGTGTACCGTGATCTTCATCTCCTGGTCTTATGTCGAGCATGCTTATTGTATACTTTTGCACAGAGGTCTTACTATATATGTCTCACTATTGCGTCATTTGCAGCAGCAGAACCCAGAAGGACAAGCAAACGACTCATGTTCTATACGCTGCACTCCCAGATCATATGGTACACTACTTCCAAATCAATTTTAGTAATTCTATATTTTGGCAAACCGTGCCAGCCTTTTCATTTACACTGTGCATTTGCATTTTGTCTCCCGTCACCACTTCCCGTCCAGACACACCATATTGTGCCGGATACGCAATTCCGTTCCCAAACGAAAAAGGCCCTCCCGCCCCAACTAAAGCTAACGGAGCTGCGTGAACGCGCCCCAACACGATCAGGTCCCCAGCACCTTCGGTGCATGTTCTGTGCTTTAAGCAGTTGGCAACCTTTGCTATCCTTTGCTACACAACGTGGACACACTGGAACGATCATAGCCGGGCGTGGAGCGGCTGTACGAGGAGTTTCCGAAGTGTCCAGGACATGTTTGACGAACTTCACATATCAATCTTGCAGTGTTTGTCCGTGCTGGAAACAAACTCTAAGTGCAAACCGAACGTTATCCCAAAACACAATAATAATGAACCAACAATTGGGAAGGCGAGTTGTCGTTTCGGATGCCAATTGCGTTGGTTTCTTATAAGAGAAGGTCGTCGCACCTCAAAAATCGGTTGACTGCGGGTGACCAAACCTTGGACGCTGAGAATGCCTATACAGGGAAACCTCGAACAACTATACGGGGAAACCCGAACAAACATATGAGGAAACCCCTAGTATTCTCTAGCAAACCCTGGTACAGGCTAGCAGTGAACGACTACACCAGGAATATATGTTTTTGGCCGGATGCGCGCAGGAGACTCACGGTCAGCGGCGCAAAGAATGAGTGGAAACAAAAGCAAGGACTACACCAGGCATAGCCTTTGGAAGCATAGAGAGTAGCGTCACGAAACAGTTTGAGTTTGCCCCGCCAAATCCCAAGAAATCATGTAACGTTTTGCTAGGCCAAGCCCCACCCATCCGCAGGCATTAATTAAAGTGCGTGATATGGCAATCGCATCAAATCTTGCTGGTAACAACCTCCGTCAAGCTTCGGGCATGTTTCTATGTGTATGGCCGGTTCAGTCACAGGTCAGCCGCAGAGCCAAGGATCTGGAACCTAATTACACAGATCACTTTGCTTCTGGCTTGCATGCATTCTGGGCAACTTTTTGCAAACCTTGAATTGTGTACCTGCAGTCGTTTTTCCCTGACACGATGCTTCATCGAATCTGTGTAAAGCATTGGGAGAGCTGAGAGCAAGGTCAAATATCGCGCACGGAAACTTTCAACAGAGCCAGGGCTGAGCACTAGTATTGCACGTCAACTGCAAGCTGACAAACACTCTGGCTGCCAAAGTTCTCACACTGAAGGACTGCCAAGCTGCATCGCCATGACACCAAGGGTTTTAATTATGTTTGGTGTGTAGGAGGCCAACAGCAAAGAGTTTCTTCCCATCGTTCCTAAACGCCTGAGGCGGGTGGTGATCATCGGCCACGGCCCTGTCGGGCACATCCTTTTGGAGCCGCCTGGTCAGCACATGACCTGAAATCATCCGAAAGCTGCATCAAGAAGCTGGGGACATATTGCTTGAAAACAATAGTCGGTTCTTGTAGACAACATTTCAGCATGTGAACTGAAACCTCGCTCTTCCACACTTGTCTACCTGCTGGCTTCTCAGTCTCGCCCTTCTGCCCATCCGTCGCGACTCGTGGGTCGACAAGGCACTTGGTTGAGGGCACTGAAGTCCCCTTGGAACTCACAGTGATTTGCAGCTTAGCGAGAAACAATGCCAGTGGGATCGGGGTGTCCAATGGTTCCAACGAGTCCAAACTAATCATGAATGATACCAAATATTAAACTGTGATAGGTCCAATCGACAAACAGCGGAAACACACTGTATAATATGTATGTATTAGTACATTTTTCGCTGAGTTGTTCAGATGAAGAGGCGCATGTTGAGTCTTTGACTTTAACTTCCCCAAAGTCTGCATCGAAGCAACGGCCTGTTGGACAAACAGTGTTATTCAAATGGCAGTATCATCAATCCCCTTGTGTCAAAGTGCACTAATAAGTCGGATGACCCATTTTGTGCGGATAGGCCCTATACATGCATATTCATATCCGTTCCCATCACAAGACAAACAAGTTGCGATTGAGGAGAATGCAAACACCCAGTATGCAAATAGACAGTGCATGAGTCTTCTCCACTGTACTCCTTATTTCGGGTCCAGTTGCACCTGTGGGTTCGCTTTTGGAACATCCCACCCGACTTCAGATCACTCCAGCAAGGTCGTGGGCCTCAAAAGGTGGAGCTGGTTGATGCTGAACTCTGGGTTTCTACCCCAACCTGAAGAATTTGTTCAGATTTGTTTGTTTGTTTGTTTGTTCAGTTCCATGTGCGTTTCACGGTTTCCGCCGGATTGATGTTGATAGTTTCTTCAGACCCATCTACAGTCACGTTTGCTCACCAGTTGAGCACCGCAAGAAACCTCCCAATATGAACCAAGTAAAGGGCCTTGTCATATATGGAACTTGGGCTTAAGCAAAGACCTGAAAAACGTAAGGTTGCGTAAGGGAAATGTGAGACATGCATGTTGCGTAAGCTTGCCATATGGTCATATTTTCACCTGCAAAAGGAGTCTTCGAGTAAGCATTTGCCTTGGGAGCATGGTTCTCATGTGAAAATGCAGATGCATAATATTTGCGTCAGGTCTTCTCCAACATCCGTGGCGCGTAAGCTCACATTGTGGTAAGAAAAACATAAGCAGGAACGTGGGTTGAATCATACGGATTTTGCACAGCTCAGTTGTTCCATTCAGGTGAAGAACCCCACTTGGCTTACAACCGCGTTGCCATGACCAGTGCCCTGGCATGAATCTTTCATGGCTCAAACACCTCCCTGTCTTCATGTTGGCTCGTCTATATTTGAAGGACATAGGGGAGCATCCTAGATTTGATGACAGAATAAACATCCAAAAACATCCAAGGTTCATCAAGGTTCAGAGTCCACTAATACTTCAGGACCGTCGCAATTTCTGAACCCCCAGTCCAATTGAAGACGGGCAAGCTTGTGAACACGACCACATTTCCAAAGTCAACGACGTGTCAACGGTGTTTGGAAAAAGGGCCAATCAGTCAATCTGGAGGGTTCATCCCGTTTTCAGGATCCGATTGTTCAGGAGTTATACACATGCAATTACCGTGGGTTGTCCAATGTGTTTTTTCCCCATATATTTTCGCTTTGAGGCCATGGCGTCTTGACCCTGGATCCCTGGGTGTGTTGTTTTTCACGGGCCCACGTGGGTTTACTCAATTCTTCAAGTTAGTACCGGTTTGCACAACGAGGTTGACAGTTCTGTTTTTTTCCGCTGAGTTCGGAAAGATTCTTAGTTCAGAAAGCATCTGGGGGTTAGTTCGAGTCTTTGGTCAAGGAGCACCGACTCTTGTGCCTTCACGGACTTTGCTTTGGCTAATATACATGACGTTGTCAATGAACAACTGAGATAACTCTAGCCATGGAGAAGCTCCAAAAGTCATACAGGTGAATATGTAACCCAAGCCAATGTCCAGCGAGGGGGGGAATGGATGTTGATGGTGTATCATGCTGTATCCTCAAATATTCATGTGGGATATGTACACATTGAAATTACCTTCTTGGAAGGTGAGGGTATGAATATAGACCGGGCAAGTCGGTGCCAGCAGTTGTAGCAGCAATCAGAGACTGATCCACGCTTCTTGTCAATGATTCCTTTAAAGGTCCTTGGAATGATGGGCCCTTGGACAATATTCCTTTGCAGAACCTGTTTGCTCAGTATGATTCTTCCATGCCATCCCCGCCCAACGTCGCTCCTTCTCGCTGCAGGCTACTTCCAACATCGCTCAGCTTCGGAACTTGCGATGTGTAGTGCTCCGGTAGACAGGGAGACCCAGCAGTAGACAGGGAAAGGCAGGCGGAGCTGGGACTGAGTGAGGAAGTCAACTTTGATTATTACATGACTGCGAGGCTTACGGAACAGCGAGTTGTTTTGGTTTCCTAGCCGGTTCTTGACCAAAACAAACAAGGTGTGTCAAAGTAAAGCGAGATCTTTGTACGCTTGGGGATGCTTCAGTTGCTTATGCAGTTGATGGACAAAAAAATGAAAAACCACTTGAGTTGCACTATTTGGCCTGCATATAGATTTATAAATCCATATATAGTATTGTTAATATAGATCCCTACATGTCCAAAGACCCAGTAAAACCAAGTCATTTGTTTGCTTGAATAGTGTTTTTGTATGACCAACTCCAGTAAAATGAGATCATTGACCTGTAGGGTATATATGTGTCTTTCGATATCCTTTGCATCGGTGGCGCAGAATATGTCCATCAATAAGTATCATCCATTCATTGAGCGGCTGACAGCTTGTCAAGCAAACATAACATGTTCATGTTCCTTGTTTACAAAACGTGTTCGGTCAATGTGTCAATCCTCTTTTGGGAAAAAAACAACGACCGAAGGGATTGACTCGCCAACTCGCCGGGCGAAGCAGAAAAGGGCGAGTCGGCAGACCTTGGTTGCCGATCCAGTCTTCGTTTGGCAATTCTTTGTTCGTGATGTAACAACTTGACTAAAGAAAGGTGAAGAAAACTGCCCTCGAACCCCGCGGTTGCCCCTTCAAAGCTGGTCTGAGGGATACATTCAAACTGTACCCTGAGGACATCATTTCATACAGGGATGTCAGGTACCTCCAGATCAGAAAGTGTTGAATCTTTTCACACTCAAGATCGCCTAAATCCCCCGAGAGCATGGTTGATTTTTTCCTGGACGGACACCACTCCCCACTTGAATGACATGCAAAGCTGTGAGGGACTACACTGGGTAGGTTAAACATAGAACCTGAAAGAATCCATGAAAAGCGCCTGTTTGTAGATACAATATGGTCTTGCAGTGGTCTATTTTCAGGTTCTATGTTCAGCGAAAACCCGGTGTTGGCTCTTAACGATCCAAGGTGCTGAATGGCTCGAGGAGAAGAACGTCCAGGTGATCTTCGCCCGAGCGACCCAAATCCAGAGGTCCAGTCGGCGTGTCACCTACGACCCTTGGAGAACAGGACACTGGAAATGTCGGACACTCCAGGCTCGTGCAGCTGGTCATGTTGGACAAGGTCTGAAGAAGACGATCATAAGAAGGCAGGTGCCTCATGATCCACATTAGGAGACCTTGTCCTGAACATCCTAAACCCTGACAAGGTACTGTTACGAGCTGCAGGTACTTCATTCACCCACTCGAGATTGGTGACAGTCACCTCAGAAGGTAAGTAAGTAAGTGGGGTCGGGTGAAGGCACCGAACTTCATCGAACTGAGCTCGTTCAATGACAGGGTTAATCCGCGAGGCCATAGGAACGAGCTTGTGTTTGAAAGTGTACAGATCAATGGAACTCTTTGTTGTTGTGTTTTGTTCTAGGTTGCATGTATTGGTTGGTACCTATGGGCCTGTATTTCGTTGGTTGACCAAAGGTCATGCTGTATTTCGTTGGTACCTATGGGCTTGTGATGGCTCGTGTCTTCGCCCAGGAAGGACCCTTGGTGCGCGGAGAGATCGAATATGATGAGCTGGTGTTGGCAACTGGCAGTTCGCCCTTTGTGCCCAATGTCTCTGGAAACTTGCGCTGATGATGGGCTGGGCGATTGGAGCTTGGTAGGCATGGCCAGGTCAAGTAGGACATGCTGAGGTCTTATTCTTACAGGTTGGTTGGGGGGTGCATGTTGCCTTTCCCCGTTACCTACAAGACACCGTTTGCTACAGTATCCTTTTCTGAGGTGAACAAGATCATGTTTGCATATGGTGTAGAACAGCCAGGCTTGATGTGTCCAGAGGAGATTCGGGAGTGGACTTGATGCTCGACCCTGATGTGTAGCTATTGGCTGCCGCATGGATCTTGGATCTGAAACTTCCATCAATTTACAACCCAACACTAACCACTAACCACTAGCCACCCAACACTGGAAGATGCGGTGGAAGCCAGAAGGCTCTTAGATTCCCTAAAGCATGGGACAACCGTTTGGACAGCCCCCTGGCAACCCTTGTATATTATTTATGATTTACATGTTAACTCACCTTCAAAAGCAAGGGCAGTACTGCTCATTTAAGTTCGGCAAAGACCATGCCCAGGGGGATTCATGCTTCTCGGGAAAAGGACCGGCCGCTCACGCAACCCTTGGGAGCTTGGTTTAGGCCATCAACCGAGCTGCTAGACCGAGCCAGGATTGACCACAGACCGAGCTCCAGGAATCTTCCTCTACCGAACGATCGAAGATATGGAAGCAATCTTGGCGCGGGCGCAGCAGAAAGGCGTTCGAAAAGCTGCAGTGATCGGTGGAGGACTTCTGGGCACCTTGGTGAAAGGGACCGAAGACAGAAAGGATTTGCACGGCCCGGACAGTCACCTTTTCCGAGGAGTGCATGGCTATTGCAGGCCTTGGCTGAGCCGTTTTGCTTGAGCATGTTTTCTTCCACCTACATCACAAAAGACGCAGCAAGGATTGGAAGCTGCCAAAGCTCTTCTGGATTTGCAGATGAAGGTCACTGTCTTGGAAGCTGCACCCACCTTGTCCCTTGGCTTTCGGCTTCCCGACCCCAAGGGCTGAAGGCATGTGGAGAGCGGTTGTCGGTAAAGCTAGGCCTTGTGACAGAGAAGGGACACACTTCCAGTGATAGAGAGTGGGTAGTGATGGGGGTGGTGGGTGGTATATATATATATATGTATAGTGGGTCCAGACATACTGCTTTGTTTTGCATCACACTACTTCTCCTTTGGAGTTGACTTGGGCCAACCCGCTTGAGAAAATATCCAACGACAAGTTGGTGCTGATGCATAAAAGACACAGTGTATGAAATGTTGTTGCCGATCAGCACAAGACAATGTTGTGTCAGTCAGTCTCTGTTGTTTTGCTGAAAATCGCTTGGAGAGTCATTGGGTGTTAAGGCAATCATCAATTTAGACCGATGTGACTTACAAAGGATTTGGTGTTTGAGGAACCAGGGAAGAATCTAGTCTACCTCTGAAAGTCGCTGCAAACGAGGGCGCCCGCGCGGCCACACGAGGATGTCAGCCCAGCTGGACATGACGGGTGCCGAGCTGCTGCGGAAGCGGCTTATGAAGATCGGCTTGGACATCGAGACTCAGGCGGGCGGATGGGGGCGTTTTGTGGGGAGCGTTCTGAGTTTTGCTTGGGGAACAAGCCCTCGCCCCCATGGGACTTGTGGCATGTGGTTTTGGCTGGATGGAATCTGAAGTGACTTTTGGAGTTAAATAGGGGGATCCTTCATAGGATGGCTCGTCAATCAGCAATAAAGGAAGATTCTAAGGTCTCCAGGTGTCCTTGTCAATTAATCCAACTCATCAATGGGTTTTGCGAAGAATCATGCCAGAATATATATGGTCAGAATATATATGGTTCCCTTTGAACATGGGAGACATGGGCCTATGCAAACAAATCATGACTCGGAGAATGACGAGTGGGTTTTGAAAAGCAGAGCTTTTTGGATAGCGGGTAAACTGTTGATTTTGACTTGGGCTACCAAAAGCAGATCAGGCAAATCTTGGGTTCACCTCACCCTCTATCACAGGGCCACTTGACTGACAAACTGTATGGGGATACCACTCCAACCGCTTCTACCAAGGAGAATCATTCATGGATAGCTTGTAGTGGCCCTGTAGGCCAGCAGAGACTTGAATAGAACACTGCGGCAATGGATACATTCCTTATTTTCGGGGGTGTTTTCCAAATGTTGACTCCATGAGCAGTAAAGTTCCGCTTCCTGTTTGGTTCTCGGCAGCCTGCAATCAGTTGGCCACCGGGAGGTGAACTTACAGGAGGTCCTTTCCAATGCCTCTGGTGTCCGCTTCATTCGGCTGGAGAAGGCGCAGCCCACTCGGAAAGGAACAGAGCAAGAGCCGCAGCTTTCAATTCAGGTGCTGTAGGTTTTTAGGCCCACGATCCTCCACTAGCAGGAAGAGTTCGACCATGCTTATATGGTGACACACAGATTGTTTGAATTTGATCGAAAGACTTAGGCAGGGAGTAAATGGTCTCTCAACAACTTCATGCGTTACATGCAAGATATTGAAGGACTATATATTTCTAAATAAGACTATCACTATTCGGATTTGTGCTGCATGTGGAAACGCTTTTCGGCAAAAGAAGTGGCTCACTTTACGATCGATATCTATCATCACTCTTTGGCGGACACTTGGCGCCATTAACGAATGAATCACCCGTCATGCACGGATGAAGAGTCCTATGGTCTCAAGGAGGGGGGAATAGAGTTTTGTCCACGTTCGCTGCTTTCACCAACCTCGATTCTTGTGACCAGTGAGAAAGCCTTTCTTTCTTTCTTCCTTTATTTCTTTTTGCAGTGTGATAGGAGGGCCAAGAGAGTTTCTTGGAAGTCGATTTGCTGATTATCTCCTGCGGCATTCGTCGCCTGGCTGGAGAGCTTGTTGTTCAGAGTTTCACATCATAACGATTCATGTGTTAGGTGTGTGTGTGTGTGTGTTTGATTTTTTCCATATCCGAGAGAGATGTAGTAGTTTTTCTATGCTTGTCTTTTGTCTACAGAGTGGGGCCGAAACTCGCGCGCATGAGTCACAAGCCAATTCTTATTTGTTTTTGGGCTCTTTCAGCCAACGCATCATCTGCATCACACCATGATCTTCATCGCTGAAGAAACATGACGGCAGGAAGAGGCAGCATGGGAATCCCATCTCCGATTCACGAAGCGTGTTACCAGTCTGGTCCACCGAACAGTGTTCCCATGTGTTCCCGTAGATTTCCCAAAAACGCGCCCGGACGTTCAACTCCCCCATGCTCAGCTCCATGTCGACGAGCTGAGTATATCACGCATCGTATCAGGTCCTCGTGACGAGCTGGCGCGACAGTGCCAGCTGGAGCTTGGTACACGAGGCGCCGGCGTGGGGCGTGTGGGCGTCCATTCTGCTGGGTGCTCCGTCCATATATCCTCTCCTTCACATGGTTGGGTGGATGGCAGTTCCACTGGGCGGATGAATTGGCATGATGAAACAGGCGGTGTAGGTGAACATGAGTCAATGAGTCGGAGTGCTTCGATGTGAGTTGTGACCGAAACATCACACGGTGAACACGGCCTAAGTCACCTGGCAGATTCAGTCAATGCAAGTGATGTGTATGAAAGTTGAGTTGTGGGGGCCCCCCTTTTGTTGGTGATTTTTCATGGTGGCCTTGCAGCTTCTAGGTTTCCTTGCATCGTGTTGCGTCAGTTGGCACTTCCTTGATGGTGCCAACGGAACTTCTTCCAGGCCTAGAAAAGGAAAGGTCTAAAGAAGAAAGGAAATACATAAAGAAATGTCTAAAGGAAAAATACACAATCAAGGTCTAGAGAATAAAGGTCTAAAAACGAAAGACAAACAAAGGTCCACTGGAATAAAGAAAAAGAAGATCTATATATAGGTTACTGAAGGATACTAAAGGTCTAAAGAAAAAGGACCTTCTTTTAGACTTGTTTCTCTTTCAGGCTCGTCTCTGAGCACATGCTTTCAAACAGAACAGCGGCGGGTCTCACCTGTTCGCAATGCGAGGTGGTGTGAAGGTGGACGGATGCCTTCGTTCGAGCGATCCACATATCTATGCAGTTGGAGAGGTTGCCAGCTACGAGGGCGGGAGACTTGGACGAGCTAGGCGCTCGTGCAGCGCAAGTGCGTGTGCAGTGGCTGGTTGGGTCCAGTGGTTTGGAAGGCTTCTTTTGCGAGGAGTTGTGGTTCTTGTGATCGTGTTACTTTTGTTTTGCGAGTGGCTGTGCTTTTGTTTCTTAGATGTCTTGGTCAGTCTGCTGGTTATCGTTGTAGTTCTTCCCTTGTTCCTTGAGGCAAAGTGCCTCTCAGATTGATGACACACTGTTAGCCATCATGAGGCTGTGGGCTACATGAATGGGTTTGACACACACTTAGGATAGGGTGTACTGATCTGAAAGCGGTGCCACACGCC